TTTTTCTGAAATTTCAGGTTGATGCCACCAGTCAGAGAAGATGGGATGATAGCATTCTGACAAAGGAAGAAGCAGAAGCCATGCTTTTAAGCAAGAAAGAAGCCGCAATCAAGAGAGAAAGGATAAAGGAATACTGGTGTGCTCATAGGGTAAAGCTTCTTTCTTCCTTGTTTGAGATGTTTCCTTTTGAGATTTTTCTTTGCCCTGATCTAATTGTCTGAAGGAGTTTTGGAAAAATGTTGCAGAAATCAGCAGAGTCAGAACAGAACAAGGGTAATGCGAGACGGAAGTACTGGTTGGATAAGTGGGTGGATACCCAAGTTGTTAAAGGTAAAGAACTTGAATATTTGGACTCAGTTTGGACCTCAAATCCAAACCTTGAAACAGAAGACAGAGCAAAACACCTGAAAGTGAGGACTTTTCAGAGTCAATATCCTACTGAAGAGCTGCATTCACCTGCACTAATTCGTCCAAGATCATTCTCTCACAGAAAGCAGTGTTCACTAGGGGAAGACAACTTTTCTACCTCCCCTATAGTCCCAACTTACATGGCTGCAACTGAATCTGCCAAGGCAAAGGCAAGATCACTAAGCTCGCCAAAGCTGAGACCAGGAAGTCATGATACTCAGTCTGAAAGCTACTCACCATACAAGAATAAGCTGTCTCTTATATCTTCTGTTACAAGAGAAGTCCCAAGTAGTTGTAGGATGGGAAGGGCTAGTGCTTACCAGCAGAGATCCCCACGCCTCAAAGATCTTCCTGGACCTATAAAATCCAGCCAGACGCTAAAGGATCTCAGCCTGAACTCAGAGTTCCCCTTGCCTTATTGGGATCGACAAAACGCCTTCATGTGATTCCAATTACCAGATGCTAAAAGAGAGGCATGTTTTTGTGTTTCTATGAATTGTAGATGTCGATCTATAACCAGAAATAAAATGGATAAGCAACTTGACTGAGTTTGGTATGTAAGACTGTAACACATATACTCACCCTAATTAATGGACTCTGATTCCATATTTGCAGAATTCATATACTTCTCAAATACAGAATCCTTCCCTGAAAACAGGACCTCCAAACACCTTCAGGAAGTGAAGGACAAATTTTGTCATTTAATGTTACTTACATGCAACTTTCCTTGTCTAATCTTGTAATATCTTCAAATTTGCCTTCTGGCACCTGAAATTTCTTTATGAAAAAGGGTATGAATCTGTGGTACATTAATCCGAGAACTCACAATTGACAAATAAGTGTTTCTGTGGCACATTAACTCTACCCCTCCCTCTGCAAATTGATAAAGGCCCAATTTCCATATTAGTAACTGGAAGAGGTCCCATGCCCCAAGGTAACAATTTGGAGCCTCAAAATGGAGAGTTGAATGGGCCTCAATTAAGTTTGAGGGTTGTCAAAGTCTCAGTAGCTAGGCCCATGTCTATCCATAAGAAATTGAAAATTTCCCACCTTCAAATGAGGGACACATGAGGGGGGGGAAACGAAAGGAAGAAATAAATTGATCTTTCTTGGCCTTGGATAATTAGTGAAAAGATTAATCATTAATGACAATAAAGTCAAAAAAATTAAAATATAGTATTCTCATATCTAGTTTCGTACTAATCATGACAAATAAGTCACACAAGTAGAAGATTCTATTTTGTTTTTTCAATTCCCTTAATAAATTAAACAAACTAAATGAAATTACTCCTCTCTAACTAATAAGATACCCGTAATGATGAATTACGAAAGGAATGTCTAGATTGTCAAAGTCTCCTATTCAAATTTCTAAACTACTCTATTTTAGTGAAAAGGAAGTTGTCTACCACCATGCTAGTAATTGTCAAGAAATCCTCAATGTATCTCCCAACATTGGTAATTGGATTAGACCTAACCATTACCCAATCTGTATGAAGCACATGGATTTCCTATAAAAACAACAAATGCGGCCAACAAATAAAACATGTTTAAAAAATGTATGAAAATTGACTAATGTGACTCAAATTTTGGTGGCTATTTTTCTAAAATTCTTTATATTCTTCCAAAGAACGTTCTTTGAGTCTAGAAGATGATCAATTAGTGTGTTTAAGACAATCTCCAAACTTTGAAACTTGTGGGAATCGTTCTTACATATCTTTTTAGAAATTGACATTAAAAAATTAGGTTTCTGGATTTGAACATGCCAAAGTCAAGTACAGATCATTTGCTTGGTTTGGTTCGTTGAATTCTTGTGGTGTAATATACAACATTACATGGTTGAGTCCAACACTCAATCCTTTGGGCAGCTTTTCTTGTAACTTGTCTATACACCTACCCTTCAAATTTCAATCACAAACAACATTGGATAATTAGTGTTAACTTCTGCAATATTTAACCTTAACCTTAAACATTCGAGGATATATAGATAATGAATTAGTTACCCTATTTTATCTTCCCTCACTAATTCATGTTTAAATTGTAAGTTCTAATAATTATATATGCTAACATGTGATGTTTCCTTTCTAAATGTGACATTTTGTCTTGAGAGGAACTTTAGTGAGAAGTTGCATTGATTATGTGATGGAGATCAAAAGGATTGCAAAAATCCATATTTCCAAAGAAAACGTTTTCTTCATATCATTATATATGACAAATTTAGGAGCAAGACAGAGGAGATAAGTCGTAAGTGCACAAAGCACATGGGATGTGTAGAATCCGTCCATATAACTTGCAATTGATTTTGCTTTGTTCTTATGATTTTCCTTTTGGTTAAACCCTATATTTACATCCTACACATTATTTTTTTTTTTACAATTAACACTTTCAAAAATTTTATTCTAATCAACAGTTTGCATAATTTAAAACTCATAAAAACTTTAAAAATTAACAGTCAAACCTCTTATTTGTATAAAAAATTAACGGTTAAATCTTCTATTTGTACCTTGACTTTGTTAGTAATTTAAAATTTTTTGTGAATTTTAAATCATGGAAGGTGTTGACCGAAAATGAAAATTATAAAGGGTTTTAACTATGAAAAAAATAATGTATAGAGTGTAAATAGAAGATTTGGCCTTTTCTTTTCAAATACTGAATAACCAATCCAACTTTTTAGATGGAGTAAACTATACCCTTTGAATTCTAGTGTGTCCCGTGATATACTAAACTGTCAAATTTTCATTGGTTTGGGATACATATTAGCAAGAGGATACAACAGATTTTTTCCACTTGCGGAGCTATTGATCTCCCTTCACATATATACCTATTCATGCCATTGAAGCTCCCACTAAAACTTCTTCTCCAATCACTAAGAAGTACTAATAAACCACTCCTTTTCTTCTTGTACTATACTATGTAAATAAAGAAAATCCACCAAATTGAACCTATGATACTCCTTTGTCCGTCCCACAATGATAGGTATTTTTTTATTTAAAATTTACTTCAAAATGATAGTCTTATTATATATATATATATATTTAAAAAAAACATTTTTCCTTTAACCTTATTATTTTCTTTTCTTCTCGTTTTAAGGTAATATAGGTAAAATCATTAATTGTCCTCAAAATCTTAACCTAAAAATAAAATAAAAAAACGTCATTATTCTAAAACAAAGAATATTTAGAGCAAAAGCCATCTTTATTGATGTCATCTATGCCTTCAAGACCAATTACAACTTCTAATTACTTCAAAATCCCATTTTTGAAGACTAAGGGTTTATAATTAACCTCTAGCAGTAATGTACGAGAAACAAATTAATTTAAGTTTTGATATTCAGAGTAGACCTCTCTATTTTCTTAGTCCATCTACATGGGATATATATATATATATACACACACACACATTGTGGATGACTTTAAAAATCAATTTGGTGGAGTTGAATTTGACTTGGAGCTTATTGTCAAGTGTGAACACACACAATGTACATGGTGGGCTATAATTCCTGCAAATTATTATACAAAAGAAAGAACAAACATTAACCACACAAACTTCATTTTGCACATCATTGCCTATGAATTAAAAATAATAAGGAAAGATTTTCTACAAAACCATGGGTGCTATTGTAAGTAATTAAGCAGTGTTATGGTTGTTGATGCTGGACAGTTCAGATTCTCACTTTCAACACCCCAAAGTGTAGCCAAAATGAACCTTTTCCTAACTTTAGAGGGAAACTGTTCACTAAAATAAGTATAGGAAACATATGAACAAAATCATTGGCAGCTAACCCTAAGATGGCTAATGAGATATCCATTACCTACTTTCAAAAGAAAAAAGATGGCTAATGAGATGTCTTTATAGTTTTTTTTTTTAATTTTTTTTTAGTGGGTTCCAATAACTTGATACATATATTCATTTATTTTAATTTTTTTTTAGTCTATACTGTTTAAGTAACATTAATAATTCGATATATAGCCTCATGGAGTTGAGAATTTTCATTTTTTTTTGGGGTCAACCAATGATTCTTTTTTCTTTGGTTTTTAAAAATTTTGGTTAAGTAATATGTTGAATTTAAAGGAGAGTGAAGACAAAAAATGAATAGTTAAAACATTGTATTTTCTTCTAATCTTAACCTCAAGCATGGGAAAAGAGACAAGGAAACATTGATTAAAGTGGAATAAAAAGTGGGATAGGGAACATGATAACCATATATTTACAAATCTCGTAGGGTTTGAGCATCCTAAATCAAAATTTTGTGCCCTACCAACCCTCCTAATCACATTCCTTGGTCCCAAACGACATGATGATGTGGCCGAGAAGCTACGTGGCAATCTCGCCTTGTCGACTTTTGCTTAGTGGCGCCTCCGCGTCACTCTATGTCAAGTCATCATTGGCCGGTCCTTGACCTCGGATCGGCCAATAGAATGCTCGAGACGATGATGACATAGCTGCACTCGTGTCATTTCTAGGATTGATGATTTTACGTGGAGGTGATCAGCATGTAGATTATGGCCGGAACCCCCTCTGGCCGCTGCCCCCCACCCCCCGCCCCCCACCTCCTCTTTGATTCTCTTGATGACAATTGTTGTTCTCTTCGTTACTAAAGGAACTTTGCCATATTGCATTCCACAATCAGAGCATTGACGGACAGGAGAGGCCCACGTCCGGGGATTTCAAGATCCTGTTCCTCGCAAAATCATTAACTCCTTCCCTTAATATTGTATTTGATTTCTTTATCAGTGGTCGGTCTCTTTCTAGAAAACATTATAATTAAGAGAGGATTAATTAGGTTTTTCTCAACAAATAAGAGGGCTATATTGCTCTAAGTTCTTCCTTTCACACCATAGCCCATAATTAGAGGAAATAAGTGCTATATCCATATCAAATTATTTAATCTTATGGAGGACTGGTACTAGTTTTATCATAAAATCAAATATGGTTTTGATACGAATACTCAATTGTCCGTGTTAGAAGGTTTGGCACATGTACGTCTCGTTGTTTTAAAATATTTTCCATCAAACTCAAAAATCAACCTCTACAAACATAATTCAATTAAAAATAAGTCATCCATATTAAGACTAAAGAATCTACTAGAGCCTACAAAGCATTTTGCGCAATGGGTCTGGACCACGAAAGGAATGCTATTTTCATCACCATTGTTTAACCTAGGTCGATCCTATTTGTATAATAAGAAAGAAAGTTTATGCATTAAATTAGAGAGGGCCCAGGAAAGGGATAGGAGCTGCAAATACTCCACTAGTGTCCAGATTACATCTTGTACAGAAAGGGAGGAAGCAATAATTGCAGCAATGGAAAACAATTGCATTCCAAGACAAATAAACAAGGGAATCATTTCATGCTTTGTCCAGTTGCTGGGAAATTAGGCTTCAAAACAATGAACAGCAAAGAGGCAAAAGAAAGGATCTTTCTGTGCTTTCCCAAAGATATCGATCCCTTGCTTCATTGCTCGAATTCCTTACCCCAAAGGGGTCCCAACAGTACCAATCATATAGATCTTTCCCCCGTAAAAGCACACATTCATATGAATTTCACGTGCTATATGGACCCTTAGTAATCCCACTCAGGTATCTCTGAGATGAACCAAGGCCTGAAACATTTTCACCGGTCCCTCTTATCCAATCTGAAAGAAGATATGCCATGTCAAAGTTCCGACAGCAATGGATTCAAGGAGATCATTCATGGGAGTAAGGAGGGGGAATGAGCATACCTTGACATTAAGAGGCAGAGAAAGTTCACATATAGGCAAAGATACTTGCTCCTCCTTTTCTTTCTAAAATGGGAAAATATATGCTAAACACGGTTAATAGAATTTTTTTTATTTTTTTATTTTTTTTGAAACATGTTTGGCTTTGATGGAAAAGGTGTGATTGTGGTTGGAACTGTTAGAAAAAGTGCAAAGATCTCTGAAATCTTTCTTTCTTGTGAGCTAGTACTTTTTCCCTTCAACTTGTCTCATGTGTGATGGCTTCTGTTATAAACATTAAGGGCCCAAAAAGAAGAACTGAGAAAATCCTAAAACTCTCCCACCCAAGAAGGCGGTCTTCATACGGATTCTCACAACTGAAGATAGGTTGGCCCAGTCACCAACTTCTCCTTTATATTCTCTCCTCAACCCTTCATTTCCTTGGCTCCTCTATATCCCTCCCTTGGCTTTTGCCTGTAAGTCACGCAAAACAAACAGATACAAGTCTGAAAACCATTCATCCCTCCTAAAAGGAAACAAAGAAACAAAAGATATGAGAAACACACCTCTGAACATGCTTTTCTTGGGAGCCTTCATGATCTTGTTTCTGAGCAGCATGACTGTTAGAATAAACCTCTGCTTTTCCAACATTCCTTCTTCATTGAAAACACTTGACCTTGATGGGCATTTTGATTTTGATGAAGTCCAGCATGCAGCCAGAGATTTTGGCAACAGATATCAATTCCTTCCTTTGGCAGTGCTGCACCCAAAGTCAATTTCTGATATTGCAGCTACAGTGAAGCATATTTGGGAGATGGGTCCTCATTCAGAACTCACAGTAGCTGCCAGAGGCCATGGTCACTCACTCCAGGGCCAAGCACAAGCCCACCGAGGAGTTGTCATCAACATGGAATCACTTCAAGGCCCAAAAATGCATATTAACACTGGGAACTTCCCATATGTAGATGTTTCTGGTGGTGAGCTATGGATCAACATCCTGCATGAAAGCCTGAAATATGGGTTAGCGCCAAAGTCCTGGACAGACTATCTACATTTAACTGTAGGTGGCACTCTGTCCAATGCTGGGATCAGTGGACAAGCATTTCGACATGGACCACAGATCAGTAATGTCTACCAGCTGGAAGTCGTTACAGGTTTGTTGAAGTAAACTCAAGACTATTATATGCTGAAGCATCAAATATGAGGCAGCCATCTCAGATATACATAAAATAATACGAGGATATACTATTGAAATTCTAGCCACTAACTTGTCTTGTCTGATTTAGATATTCTTTTGAGAAAAAAATGATAGGATGCCAGGTTTTATCATAATGCATGTGGTGACTTCATCCAAGTTTCACAAAAGATGCTTAGAATGTTGGTTAAAATCCAGTTTCAAAAGAATACAAAGAAGTGACTTGCACAGCATACCTAATGTAAACTGTGACTGAGTGCAGGGAAAGGGGAGGTGGTAATTTGCTCAGAGAAGCAGAACAGTGATCTTTTCCATAGCGTTCTTGGAGGACTCGGGCAGTTTGGCATCATAACACAGGCAAGAATATCACTGGAAACAGCACCTGAAATGGTAAAAACAGTAATCAACAAGCTAAAAGACAATTTCGACATTGAGAATTTAGCTCACTGGAAAATTATAATTATATTCTCAAAGTAATTCTCCCTCTTGAACAGGTGAAATGGATTAGGGTGCTATACACAGATTTCACCACATTTTCCAAGGACCAAGAAAAACTGATATCTGCAGAAAGCACGTTTGATTACATAGAAGGTTTTGTTATAATAAACAGGACTGGTCTGCTTAACAACTGGAGATCATCCTTCAATCCACAGGATTCAGTACAAGCTAGTCAGTTCAAGTCAGATGGGAAAACACTCTTCTGCCTAGAATTGGCCAAGTATTTCAATCCAAAAGAGACAGAAGTAGTAAATCAGGTATGAGACATTTCCACCATCAGGCAGACTTCTTAAATATATTAAATTAATTAAATAATAAACTATATGTGAGTATGCATGCATGTAATTACCAAAAAAAAAAAAAAAAAGAAGGAAGAAGAAGAAGAAGGAAGAAAGAACGAAAAAGCCCTAATTTACTCCTTTCCCATGCAGGAAATCAGGAATTCGTTATCACAGTTAGATTACATCCCTTCAACCCTTTTTCTATCAGAAGTTTCATACATTGAGTTCCTAGACAGGGTTCATGTTTCCGAGCTCAAACTGCGGTCAAAAGGCTTGTGGGAAGTTCCACACCCATGGCTTAATCTCCTCATCCCCAAAAGCAGAATAGACAGCTTTGCTGAAGAAGTCTTTGGCAATATCCTTGCAGATACAAGCAATGGCCCCATCCTCGTCTACCCAGTGAACAAATCAAAGTAACAATTTCACAAATTCAGTGATGCATCTCTTGAATTCTCATGAGTTCCTGTTTTGTCCTTGTTTTGATATATTGAGAATTAATCTTTGTTTCAGGTGGGACAATAGAACTTCTGTTGTTATTCCAGAAGAAGATATTTTCTATTTAGTGGCCTTCCTTTCCTCTGCAGTACCTTCTTCCACAGGAACTGATGGATTAGACCACATCTTAACTCAGAACAAAAAAATTTTAGAATTCTGTGAGATAGCTGGTCTTGGGGTAAAGCAATACCTGCCTCACTACACCACACAGGAAGAATGGCAAGCCCACTTTGGCCCACGATGGGAAGTTTTTGTCCAGAGAAAATCCACCTATGACCCTTTAGCAATACTTGCTCCTGGGCAAAGAATATTTCAGAAGGCAGTAGCTTATGCACAATAATGTCTTAGTTATATTTCTTTCCATTAAAGGAATGGGCCTTGAAGCATACAGGGGTAAACTTGTCAGCTAAACATGCTCCAAAATGCGAGTATGTGACTATTTAAGTGCCTTCTCAAAAACTGCAAGCAATGGGGAGGCATATGGTCAACTGAAAAATTTGTCAGCAGAATAGATCAACTGTATCATAGATGAATTATTTATTAGATTTGTAAAAGGCACTGCAGAAATGCAATGCCCTGAAAGAGATGCAATTACCAACTTTAATATCTGAGTTCTCTATTTTTCTAAATGGTCAGATTCCTTAAATAAAACGTGATAATTCCTCCAACACCAACATACACTAAAGAAATAAAGGTCCAGATTCTATTACAATGAAAAAAGAATGTGGGAAACGAAAAGAGAAAAAGGAAAACCAGAACATGTTGACTCTTGAGCCTTTCATAGTCAAAATTTTTTTGTTTGCGTCAAGAGTCAACATACCTCCCTCAAGGAAATAATAGCCACCCGTTGTCAGTGACACCATAGCATGTAAATCTGTGCTGGGATAGGGAAGTAAGAAATGGGACCTTTAACCATATTACCATATTATTTTCTAGCTTAGCATCTGGAAATACCACATTGTAGAAAAAGGCAGAGACCTAAATCATAACTTCTCCCAAAGTGGGCATAGAAAAGATGAAATAACACTTTAGCATTCACAATCCACCATAGTCCTGTTTTCTTCACTCTTATGGTGAACTCTACAGAATTTAGGTCATGATAATTCCCCATCAAAAGATAGAGTTCATCCATTTAGATTAGTGCACCATCGGACCCTAATAATTACTTATTGTCACTTGATCTTTTTCAGGTTCAGTAGGGAGTTGAGAGGAAGTGAAGGTTGAGAAAATAAGATTTTGGACAGATATAATACAACCATAGTCTGCAGAAGAAAGACCCCACACTTGATTTTACGCAATGGATATTATTTAGCAGCTAGCAACTACATAGAAATGGGGAAAAATGATAATAATAATAATAATAATAATAATAATAACATTTAAAGGAAAGTTCAATCTTAAAAAAGAAAAAAAGAAAGGAAAGAAACAAAAGAGGAAGGAAAGAAACAAAAGAGGGTTTTGTTGCATGGGGGGGGGTGGGGTTGTTCACATATTCACATGACTTATTTCAAATGCAGAACTCAAAGCCACTGAACTGAAACTGCTTACCATCTAGATCTACTTTCTCCCTCTTTAGGGTTTGACATTTACTTTTTTCTCCATTACCCCCTTTCAATCCAACTCCAGAGGACACATATTTATAGCATATAACGCAATAAACTGAACTGACAAAACTTTGCGCTCAGTTCTAAATTCTAATTCATTTCCTCTTAGTTCTCCAAAATTAGGACAAACTCTACCTCAAAGTTCCTGAATTCAAGCTAAATCTGTAATTTCTATGATTTTCTTTTAACTTTTATCCTTTCATCTCACAACTCAACACAATCAATTCAATAGATCTTCACTGTTTCACCCAACTTCACATTCATCTCAGATCACCAAAAAAAGAAAAAAAAAAAAGGATCTATGCGTCAAGTGGGCTAAAAAGGAGAATTTATTCTGTTTGGGAGATTATGGCATCTGTATGATGGAAGCACTAGGCAATGGCTGACAGAGTTGATTCTCTATTGAAACATGGCACCACATATCTTAAAGTGAAAAGTTGACCGACAAAAGTGGCCACCTCCATGATTCCAAAATGCAATGGTTCAGAATATCTGCCCTTGTTTTTCAAATCACTCAAAACTACCAATGACACTCAGTGGACTACAGTTCCCATGTAATAAAGCAAGTTCCAGTTTCCCAAGAAACAGTAAGAGCCTCTAGTTGAGAATATTCAAGAAAAATGTTATTGACACTAATTAAAACATGCATGTCATAAGATTTGATGAACACATAATGGTTTGAATTATTTTATGCTGCAAGACATGTCATATTACTATATAAATATCCATAAAAAAGGCCCAACGAAATTACATTAGCCAGTAGAAATGTTTTTTCATATGAAAAACGTATATCAATTCCCATCAACAAATGAACTGAACTCATAGACCAACGATTTTGTAAATCAATTTAAATTAAAAAGACGAGAGAAATCAAGTACACTTACCTTAATATATGATTTTCCCGCATTAAGACTAGCTAAATGTGATGTTGCTTTTCTGGCAACAATTCCACAAGTTGTTGGAAAAGCAGGTGCTAGGAAGAAAATGACAACCATTTACTGTCAAGATCAGTTCAAATCAAATATTTCATTAGTGTCACATTGACTACCATGGTGCTGCTAAGCATGGAAATAAAATTCATGATGTGAATAAAGGAAAAAAGTAGTGTGCCTCAGAATCCAAGAATTAGGTCAAGAAGCGAAATTGCTTCTTGAAGGAGATTGCACCATGGATGGTCAATGAATATGAGTGGCTGCTGTAATCAGTATTCCATGTTAAAATGGGTCTATACCAAAAGTTATAAAGTCCAGGTTCAGATAATATTGAATCATACTTTATAGATAGAATTATAGAATTAAAATTTACTGAAAAATGTATGCAACAATAATCCATGAAGTTTTGTATACAATACCCAGAAAATATCATAAGAAGCCCCATGTTTGAAAAGAATATTTATACCTACACCAATCATTAAGTATAAGAATCAATGTATCAATAGCTGATGAAAAAAAAAAAAAAAGAATCAATGTAGCAATAAGAAATCCAAATCCCTTTAAAATTGGACTGTCATGTACTTATGTTGAACAGCAGAATGAATATGATGGAGTCTTAACCAACCATATGTTCAAGCGAAAAATCTAAACACAAACTACTAGTTCAAGACATGTGCTTGGATTTCAAACAAATAGAAACTTATAAGCACCAAAAAATATTTGGATTCAAGTGAGTACACTAAAGGATTAAGAAAAGTTTGAAATTAGAAAATTTTTCATATTGATAGTATTTATTTCCCAATTGTCCTCTTGATTTGTCAGAAAAAATATAGAGGAAGTCATTCAATTTTGAAGTAATATTCTTACGCGGTCTACAACATATAGCATAACTTGATACTCTTCATAAGGATATAAGCTAGGAAATAACAAAAAATCATCCATTTGATATAACATTCCCTCAGAGATAGTCCTGGCTCCTTAAAACCTCCCACCTGCATGTCTAAGTATCCTCTTAGCACTAAACAGGTGATTATGGTACCATAATCTTACTTGAGGTTATAACCATCAAGCAGAGATGGAAAATGGTAGTTCCAAGAATAGATGATGCTGCTAGGAAGTTGAAATAATTTTTGTTGAAACAAATCATGGCCCAAATGTAAGTCTTTGCTCCATAAACTTTGCCAACTTAGAATTATTTCAAGTGATGTGATTTAAAATAAATAATATACCAAGAGACATGTAACTGCAGATCTGCAACTGGCATTTAGCTTTGCATAGAACATACTAATACTGTAATACATTAGTGCTGCACTGTAATACAACCTTTAAAAAGATTCTTTTTCCTTTTCTGGCCAAAAAAGGATGAAAAGAAGAACCTTGAAAGTTAACTCATTAACAAAACCTACTGATCAGACAAATATAAAATTGAAATTTATTAACAAGTCAACAACACTGTGATGTATATTTAAAGCAAAGCATATCACTACTAGTTAATCTTATAAGTAAATGCATGCTTGGGCTGCTTAGGTCCTCTACTAAGTGGAGGAAACATTTGTAACGGAAAAATCAACTCATGTAAGTGTAACAACCTTATTAATGGACCAACAACACTGTATTGAGCTCAAAGACAATTATCCCATGTCAATCAATCTACTGTAAATAAATAAATAAACCCATTCATGAAAAATGAGTCATAAAACAAAGCTTTTGGAGTTTGGACATGAAAAATGCCTGTTACAGGTACCCATATCACCAAAAATGCATCTGGACCTATTCTATACAGGGAAAGTCCTTGGACAAGAAATATCATATTACTAAAGTTACAAAGGAAAGCCAGAAGGAAAAATTGACTCAAGAAAAAACCTTATTCCTCATATCCAGAACAAAGAAATTTCAATTTATCCAACGAGTCAAGTAACATAAGGATAATAGGCAGCAAGCCATATGGCAAAGGTTGCTGGTTAAATGACAGCAAACAGAGTGGCAAAATAAGAATGACCATAAGTCTATAGCATCTCTGAAACAAATCCAATTTAGCTTTCAAATGCAATTACAAGGCCATCTATTCTTTATCCCAAGTTTATCCCAAGCATAAAGTCCTCATCTTTTCATCCAGGAAATCCAGAGGGACAAGATGCTTTCAGAAAGATACTGCTTACTTTTCCTGTTTCATTTTACCTTCCTCCTTTACATACATCAAGATGCCAAACTAATGGTCAGCTAATTATTAATGACCTCTCTATATTAACAAATGGCAAGATGATCAAACTTGGGAGCTCATAATACTTTTCCCAAGGATTTCCCTTCAGCAGTTATCATAAGATCATTCTGTTACACTCAACCATAGATATTAATGGTTCTTTTGCTGGATGATGCACTTCAAAACCAACACTGACCATCCAAATAAAGTAGTCATCATGTGAAATCAACGAAGCATATTGGTATTCATAGGATGCAGCTTTGCAAATCCTAAGGCAAGTAGAATGACGTTTCCTAGAATATACATATTTCTTTACAGAACAAGAGAAGCAGCTTTCTGTGAGGAATTTGGTCACATAGAGACCCAACTTCATGAAATTAACCAAACATCAGTCAATGATTTTGCTGCTTATAAACTATGTAATCATAAAACTGAAGACAAAAGGTCGCCTCCTCATAAACTAACACAGCTAATGCTGGCTGAAGTTAACATGCATGCTTGAGTTTGACCCTTTTTCTTCCCATGAACATGAGTAAAGAAAGCCTCTCTTAGCTTCCAATCACACAAAGACAAGACAAATTGCAAAAATATTGCTCATAAAATTTAATAGCTGGCAAATTTGCACCTTTGTGCTCTTTAAGCTCGCAATCAATCAGGCATCCTAAATCAATGAGCTCAAAATCACAGAAGAAAAATGGCTACTAATTTGACAAGATCAAGAAAAGAAGTGAACAGCATTCCCAATTTCCCATCATCAAGCAGAAGGAGATTACCAAAAACTGCTAATATATTTTAGAATAACTAAAACATTTTAAGCACCCATGAATGACAAAATGCAGTACCTCTTCCACTTTGCCTGGACTTGCATACAGGGCATTCAACATGGACGCAATAAACGGCATTGTCACACAGAACTCGAAAAGCATGTTCAACAATAATATCATGAATTTTTCTACCCTGCCACTGCTAAATTACACATAGAAACTGAGAGGAGCCGAAATTGTGCAAATATACACGAGGGAAACAAAAAACTTCCTTTTTCCATTACCTAACAGGGACTGGGGCCGGAGTCAGACGCAAGAGGAAAAAATCGCTTCTTTTGTTTGGCCCCGGCCAATCATTGAAAAGAGGAGGCGAGTGGGGTACGCCGCACTGGGGTTCAACAGACAGTGATAAGCCGACAAAGGAGGTGAATTTGAGTCCGACCATTAACGGGTCTGATCCAACTGGGTCGAACCGGATCCTTCCCTTAAACCCCATCTTTGTTCTTAAGATGTTGGAAAATTCTTGGGATGCGTGGCACCATTAAACGGCTTCTTCTAGAAAGGGGCTGCTATTCCGCCGTCGCCCACCGTATGCAACTGTAGAACTTACGTTAAAGCTTGAGCCAATTTTCCTTTTTATTGTCTGTCAACTTTCTGTTACTTTCGGCTCTAATACAATTGTCCATTTCATTTCGTTTGAGCTAATCTGTTCTTTTATGTGCATCATGCATTGTGTGAACTGCTTAAGCTTTTGGGGTTGGCAGAGGGAAATGGCAAATTGGTGCCAACACGTTTGAAGAAGACGACAAAAAAGGTTCTTTCGCTTTCCCTCCTTGTTTTCCATGTTTTCTATTTGTTGGGTACTTTCGTGGAAGTTAGATCGCCATAGTATTTTAGACTGAGTTTTCAATGTTAGCTTTTGCTTTTGCTTGTTTAGTTGGATAAGATCATTGATGGGGTTATTGATTGACGGCGATGGGTTAAAGAATAACAAAAACCCAAGTTGTAATGCTCTTTCTGGATTTTCCGTTATGTTCTAAAACGGGAAATTTCTTCTGGGTCAATTTTGGCTGCTGATTTCAGATTTGCGTGGCTATGATATAGGTGAGTTGCTCACCAATAAAGCCATATTGTCTGGATTTGGAGGTGATTGCTGATTTCAGCGGGTTTTGTTTCTCGAAGGATAAAACCCATATAAAGAGCAGTGCAGGGTACCTGAAATTTGTGCAGATCGATTCAATATCACAGGTTTGAGGCTGGTATTTCGAATTTCAAGCTTAGAATTTCATACCCTACAAAGGGTTTTGTGTATTTGGGTGCCTTAGTTGTTGTATTTGATTGTTTTAATCCATAAACAATTGAAGCTGAGTAAACAAAGGTGAAAGATGGTAGGAAGTACTGAAGCTATGAACAAAAATATCTATTCAAATGGTTTGATTCATAGCTCAAATGGTTCTTTAGAAGAGAGGCTTGATGAGCTTAGGCATCTTATGGGGAAAGCAGAAGGAGATCCGTTAAGGATTGTTGGTGTAGGTGCTGGTGCCTGGGGTAGTGTTTTTACTGCCATGTTGCAAGATGGTTATGGTCACCTAAGAGATAAGGTTCTAATAAGGATATGGAGGAGACCTGGGAGAACTGTTGATAGGGCTACGGCTGAACATTTATTTGAAGTGATCAATTCTAGGGAAGATGTTTTGAGGAGATTGATACGGAGGTGTGCTTACTTGAAGTATGTTGAGGCAAGATTAGGTGATCGGACACTTTTTGCAGATGAGATTCTGAAAGATGGATTTTGCTTGAATATGATTGATACTCCACTTTGCCCTTTAAAGGTTGTCACTAACTTGCAGGAGGCTGTGTGGGATGCTGATATTGTGATTAATGGCTTGCCATCAACGGAAACTCATGAAGTGTTCGAGGAAATAAGTAAGTATTGGAAAGAAAGAGTTACAGTGCCAGTTATCATTTCTCTCGCAAAGGGTGTAGAAGCTGAGTTGAAACCTGAGCCACGCATAATAACTCCTACTCAGATGATCAATCGAGCAAGTAAGATTTATTCTCTTTTGCTTGTATTTGTCAGTGTAACTGTTTTATGGTGCTAGAACAATTAGCCCTATATAATTTATTAATTATGTCTCTATGTGATTAATCATGAATCAATTTATTTTCAATTGTCCAATCAGATTGGATTCATTGAAATATAATATCATCAGGATGCTTGAAATTGAGACTTAATTTGATACCTTAATTGTGTTCCACAAATACCTTTTATTTTCTAATGGCTTGTAGGCATTGAAGCATCAGAATAAAGTTCCTATGGACATGGAACCATCTTAAATTATTAGATATCAACCTATTTCCTAGAAGGCCAAATAAAAAACCTATTTTAATCTCATTTTTGCATTATTGCAGCTGGAGTTCCTATGGAGAACATTCTCTATCTTGGGGGGCCTAATATTGCTTCAGAGATTTACAATAAGGAATATGCTAATGCTCGAATATGTGGAGCTGAAAAGTGGAGGAAAGCATTAGCAAAATTTCTAAGGCAGCCACACTTCATAGTGTGGGATAATGGTGACCTTGTTACTCATGAAGTTATGGGTGGCTTGAAGAATGTCTATGCCATTGGTGCTGGTAAGAGTTAGTTTCTAATCTGTCACTAAAACTTGGACACTGGGGCATCTTAGAATAAGTTGGATAACAATATTTGGGCACTTTAACTCTCCCCCTAATGCTAGAAAGAGAAAAGCCATATATAAGTGGTTTTCTGCTTTGCAATCTGCTTTTCAATGCAACTTCTTTGTGATTGAACAGAGTATTAACTTCAGTTTTATATTTTTTCTTTTTGTTAAGATAATTGGTCAGAATTATGAACAGATTGCCATATTCTTTCTCTAGTTGTATTGTAGGACAGCACAAGTATGCCCAAATCCAGTGATATCTTGTTGAAGAAAAGTGATACCCCTAGGAATTACTCCAGTAAAGTAACTAAAGTCAAATAGCATTCACCACCAATAAAAAAAAAAAGGACATTCTGTATTTTCCATTTGTACATAGTATAAGCAGGTACACTTTATGTTCAAGCATACTTGATAATTGGCAAATAGATCAACACACCAAGAATATTTCATTGAACTGGGAATTATTCAGAAAATTAAAAGTTTAGATAGCCTACTAGTTATTCACATGTCAAAATATAGTAAATAATAGTTATATCTAAATATTTGTTTTCACAAGTATGTGTGTGACCCTAAGCTTGTTTTCATCTGTGTTAGATATTACTTGGTTTCATTTGAACTAATAGGCTGCAATCTATAATCTGTATATTTAACTTGCTGTCTTGATTCCACAGGAATGGTAGCAGCTCTGACCAATGAGAGTGCCACTAGCAAATCAGTATATTTTGCACTCTGTACATCTGAGATGATATTCATCACTCATCTCTTGGCAGAAGAGCCTGAGAAACTTGCTGGGCCTTTGTTGGCTGACACTTATGTAACCCTGTTGAAAGGTCGTAATGCATGGTATGGGCAGCAGTTGGCTAAAGGTGGATTGAGCCTTGAAATGGGTGATAGCATTAAGGGAAAGGGTATGATTCAGGTATAGACTTGACCTCTTAATCCTTATGAAAAGATAGAATCATGTTGAAACTGATCTTGACTTAAAACAGAACTGAAGGATAAAATAATAATTTGGATTTCCTTGGCATCATTATATGGAACAGCATTCAGCAGAACTACCCATGTTGCACATCTTGAAAGTAGTGATCTTAAGTTGCTAGAGGTGTTTTGAGGAAAGATTGACTTTACTCTGCTAATCTATTTAGATTTTCTGCCCAAAAATTAAGATTTGTGGGTGCAAGCATGCATCACGTGGCTTCCAACAGCAGGCTCTACAATAACTTTACAATTCTCTCTAGCAATGCAGCTTTATTTTCAATTAAAGAGGAATGTTGTGGTATATGACGTACTAAACAAGTTTAAACAGAATGAATTCACGACTTCCCATTACTAATCTGATATATACTTGACAGGGTGTCTCTGCTGTGAAAGCATTTTATGAGCTGCTAGGTCACTCTAGCCTTAGTGTCCTGCATCCTGAAGAAAACAAGCCTGTAGCTCCAGTGGAGCTTTGCCCTATTCTGAAGATGCTATATAGAATACTAATAATGAGGTAAATGACTTTTCCCCTTTCAATTTTCTCTCTTTAGGCCAAATGATACCGTCTCTCTTGTTTAAATTAAACATGTACATATTAGACCACGTCTCTAAGAATTTAATTGGGATGCTGAATTGTAGAAGCTGTTTTAGTGATTTCCATTGTTTTAATTCATAGAATTTATATTACCTGGATATGTGTTAATAATGTCAATCTTCAGAGAATTTCCTCCTCAAGCCATTCTCGAAGCATTAAGGGATGAAGCCATGTACGATCCAAGAGATCGTATAGAGATTGCACAAACTCATGTCTTCTACAGACCTTCTCTTCTAGGTCATCAGCCTTGATTACTGATTCGACTATCTTCCACATCAAGTATCAGAAGATGTAAACTTGAGAGCAACAAGATTAAAGATCAAATGCAGCGACATGGTGATGTATACTTTGTTCAGCTTCCTTGAGCAGGAGATGCTGAATGTGTTGTGCTCAATTTTGATTTAAGGATGTTTTTGAGCTTGTATGAAACAGGACAAGAATGTGTAGTTTTGTTCGACAAAGGAAAAGGATAGAAACCAAGTTTGTTTGTTTGTTTGTTTGTTTTTTTTTTTTTTTTTGACACGTCCACAAAGGCACCAGCTGGACATTTATATGCAGCAGCATGATGTCTTTGTGGTGGGGTATGATTGTGATAACATAAAAGTTTGGGTTGAAAATCTAAAATCGTTAGAAGTCCAGGATATTTTCATATAAAGATCCTGTCAAAAAACCGACGTCGTTGCGACCGTATAATCTCCGACCCCAATGTCTCTTTTAGACGACGACGAGCCGGGAGCCGGAAGCCGGCGGGTGAAGCATACCCATTTTAGATATGCTGTGATAAAGTTGTACTTAGGCTAATAGAGGTTGTACGCATGTAAAGTGGTTATGAAAGGCCAAGTCGATGTAACTGAAAGGAGTTTTTGATGAATAATGAAAATGGTTCTTCCTCTCCCTCTCGACTTCTCTATTCTTCTCTATTGTCTTCTTCCTTCCTCCTCCTGCTTCTCTTCTAAATTCTTTCCTAAATCACTAATTCTTCCTTTCTAATCTCCATTTCTGGTTTGGTTGCTATTAGCGGGGAACGACGTGAGCAGCGTCCACAACCACCGAAACAGGAACTGCTTCCACCTCCTAATCGCAGTAAATCTTCCATTATCTTAACTCTGTTAGCGCTCAAAATGATTTCACCTTTGAAAATTTTCTGATTGAAAAATATGAATTTTTGTAATATGAACATCTGGATCATCAAAGAATCGAGGGTCAGATTCATCTCTGGCTGGCATTGAGAAACTTCCCGATGCTTCACTGCTTCTGAATTGTTGAAGATCAACGAAACAGTGCAATCAGTTACTGTTCACGTGCATTGTTCATGTCCGTTCAGGTTCAATTAACCTACCGTCCCCGTAGCTAGTAGTAACGACCACGCTTCTCCAGTTGCGGCTGCCATGGCAGGAAGTGGGTCGCGGTAGAGAGACTCAAGGGGATTGCATTCGAATCTTCTTCCGCGCCAGAAACTTCCAAGGGGCTCCTTACCTCATAGCAACAGAACAGTGTTCCTGACACAGCCGGAGGCATCTTGGTTCCGCCCCAGCTCAGTGGAAGGTGAGTCTTTTACACCCTTCTGACTACACTCTGTGTTTCTAGAATTGCAATTCAATTTCACCTCAGAATCAAGTGCAAAAATACTAGAGCTTATATGTTTAATATAAAGCAGGTAAAGGTCCAGACTTGGAATCTCAGGGGTATACAATAGGGATAGCCCTCCCCTTTTTAAAAATCCCTCCTACTCCCTCCTACCCAACTTAAGGTTCAAACCTAAGATTTCCTAGTTAGAATCTCAGACTCTTAGCCAGTTGAGCCACTAGGGGCTTCGAGACTTAGTTTTTTAGGCCAATTGTTCAGTATTTTGCTATGAAAGAAAGGCGGACATGAAATGGTGTCCAATGTTAACGAAGCCGTTTATTATAGTTTCTATTTTTCCCCCCTCTTTACCATTTAATTGAAGTCCAAGTGCAGATGGTGAGCAACTCTCTTGTTTACTGTCCTACTTAGTGGTTTAGTAATCAGTACTCGGTCTTTTTTCTACATGGAAGAAGTGACTTCTAGAGTTCTCTTAATTGCTATATTGGAAGCTTTTGCATTGAATCTTTTAAGCTTAAAGCGGAAGTGTGTGCTTAACTTAGAAATGTTCATATTTAAATGCATTTAAGGACCAGAGAATGATAAGGCCACCAACTGGTTTACTTGTAGCTATTTGCTTTCCAAGGGTCAACTCTTTTTGTTCTTTTCTTTCCTCTGTGAAACTCAAGTTAAAGAAGGAAATTTATTTCGTAAATGGGTAGTAGTTCTTATTTTATACGGAGGAAATTTAAAATTGGTGATTTGAGTTGGGCTTTTGACAGAAGCAATGTGGTAACAGAATATATCAGCAAGCTGTTTGTAAGAAAACATGCAGATTCACAGTCTGGAACAACTGAAAACTAGTGTTAGTTCATTCTCTTTTGACACCGTCGGTTTTCTCAAGCTCAAAATATGACCAAGTCTTGAGGATTTTGCTTTGTATAAAAAGTATACTTCTAGTTTTGTACACACATAAACTCTAGCTTGTTTGAAGGTATACAGTCGTTTCTTATTGTCTAAGAGAACTGTTGCTGAATCCATGAGTAACATTGGTTAACTGTTCCATCAAATGCCCCCTTTTTCTTGTCTCTTTTTCACTTTCCTCTACATCACCCTCTATTTTCTTTCTCTAAATCTGGCTTAGATTCCAAACTAGGTCTTTGGAATTGCTTTTGTGATAGTTTTAAAGAGGCAGTATTTGCTTTTATGATACCTTTTCTGGAGCAATAGACCTTGCATGCGAGTGACCTCTATTATTGCCGTTGGATGTTACCTGTGTTTATGATTCCTGGTTATGCACTGCTGCAAAGACAAAATGCTGAAATCTTGATTGTCTCATATTTCAGATTTAACATTTTCTGATGGTTTTAAATTTTGTTAATATTCAGATTTTTATGTTATTGTTATTGATTTGCTGAACAAAATCTCAATGAATCATTAGAAAAAGTTTACTCCAAAATTACAGTTCCTAAAGCCGATGCGACTGAACAGAACAACTTACTAACAGCATTCTTGTTTGAAACTGTAGTGAGATTTCTGCATTTGATTCCTGAATAAAATCAAAATCAGTCTCAAGCCAAATCCGGTCCACTTGGTAGGGGTTCATAGCCATCATGGTGCTTGGTTATAGCAGCAGCTTCTTTTCCAATTCCAACGGGAATGCACTTCACGATGACGGCCATAATCAAGCTTCCTGCTCCGGCCAAGATGCTGACCAGCCACAATTCTGTGCTGAGCGGCACAGTCTCTGCAAAAGTGCCTAAGAATTCAACGATCACAATTTGGAATGCTACCGTGGAGACCATAACCATGATGAAAAGCCAGCTACCAAAGATCCCTCTAATGACATTTATCTTCTCCATATCCCTGCTGTTTATCTCATTGAATACCTGGACAACAGAAACAATTAAGAGGGCTATTTTAAGTTATCAGAATGTGAAGAAGCAAGTTTCGTGAATGAATGGCACCTGGCAGAACACAAAGGTATTGAATATGAATGTGTTAAGAGTTTCTGTAGCATTTGAACCGGACAGGTTCAGAAGACGTTTCCCATCGAAGTTGAGGATGGCAAGTATGACAAGCTGGTAAATGCTCTGTCCTAAGATGTTCCTCCACATAATCCTCGTGATGAAATTCTCATTCCTCCCAATTGGTGGCCTTTTCATCAGTCCATCGTGTGGAGGTTCTGTAGCCAATGCCAATGCACCAAGGGTGTCCATGATCATGTTCACCCATAGCAGCTGAACAGCTGTAAGAGGAGCAGACCCTGAAGAATACAAGAATATCAGAAATCTTCGTTCAGGTAAGTATCATCAAGAACTGCACTACCCAAAAGTTGATTCTATTTACTAATTTGATTTGATAGATTAAGTTTTTAGGGTGAGCAGTTATTCTGATAAAGAAGTCAGAAAAGTTACCTGAAATGCATGCAGAAGTAAAGTTGAGCATAAGAGCAACGATGTTAACAGTCAGCTGAAACTGTACAAACTTCTGGATGTTGATATAAACTGCCCGACCCCATCTGGCTACATTCACTATGGTAGTGAAGTTGTCATCCATTATGATGACATCGGCGTTTTCTTTTGCAACTTCTGTCCCGGTTATCCCCATGGCAAGTCCGATATCAGCCTCGTGGAGGGCAGGCGCGTCATTGGTCCCATCACCAGTTACTGCCACCACTTCTTTGAACTGCTTCCTTAAGTGGGTTACTAGCGTGTGCTTATCCAAAGGCAAGGACCGGGCCATGACCTGTAATCTTGGTACTAGTTCCGCCATCTCCAGAGGACTTTTGTCCCGAATATCTGGCCCTTCAATAGCCAGACCGTCGTCTGTCAATATCCCACATTCTCTGGCTATGGCTTTAGCAGTATGGATGTTGTCACCAGTGACCATGCGGACTTTGATTCCAGCAGCTAAACAAGTCTTGACGGCTTCCTTCACCCCCGGCCGGACTGGATCCTTGATTCCAACTATCGCTATGAGGGTATAATTATCTTCAGGAATACTGTCTGAAGTAGAAACGTTCTGAACATCCTTAAAAGCCAAACAGAGAGTTCTCAAAGCTTGATCGGCGAAGTCATTAATGACACCGGATATGCTCTGTCTCTGATCATCAGATAAAGCCACAACCTTCCCATCAGCATTCATCATATTGTGGCACATTGAAAGAATGATTTCCGATGCCCCTTTACAGAAAGCCCTGAAGCCTTTGTCCGGAACAGAAACAAGCACAGACATCTTCTTCTTTACCGAATTAAAAGGCTCAACCTTTAGAATTTCGGACTCCTTCCTGTGAACCTTGAAGTCACCACCCAGATTCAAGCCAAATTCCAATATCGCCTTCTCGGTGGGAGAACCCAGAATGGTATTCTTCCCATCTTTTCCCTTAACCACCTCTGAACCGGTGTTCTGAAAGATTGATTGCAGGAGAATGTTTAGTACCGTTTCAGATACAGAGGACTTGAATCCATCAAGATCTCCATTACTCTGAACTGTTCTTATTTCTCCACACGTCCAGAATTTATGGACAACCATGTGATTCGTCGTCAATGTTCCTGTTTTATCCGTGCAAATACAGGTAGCAGAACCCATTGTTTCACAAGCAGAGAGATGTCTCACCAGAGCTTTATCATTCATCAATTTCTTCATTGCAAAAGCAAGACTTAGCGTCACTGCCAGCGGCAGCCCTTCTGGGACCGCAACGACAATTATAGTCACCGCAATGGCGAAGAAATTCAATAGCACCAAGGCATCCTCCAGTGACCATTTTCCAATTTCGCCTTTCATCCCCTTGGTAACTAAAAACCTCGTCGTTAGAACCAAAAATGTCAAAACAGCGATGGTCAAACCAATCTTTCCAATCACAGTAGCAACCCCATTGAGCTTCACCTGCAATGGCGTTTCATCATCACCGTCTTCACTCAGGGTAACCATCAGTCTCCCCCATTCCGTTCTCATTCCAACGGTGGTGACCAACATTTTACATGAGCCATCCTGGACTTTAGCTCCGGCAAGAAGAAAAGGCTTCCGATTGGTTATACTCACCGGTTCACTCTCTCCTGATAAACTCGATTCATCAATTGACAAGCTGTAACCGGAAATGAGAACCCCATCCGCCGGAACCTGATCACCTATTGATAGATGAACGATGTCTCCGACCACCAAGTCATGGATTGAAATTTTCTGCCGGTTGCCATCTCTAGTCACCTGAACGATTATATTTTTCTTTTCTTTGTCCAATTCCTTGAACTGCAACGACTGCCGGTAGTCACTAACGGCAGTGACGAGCACCACCAAGAAAATGCATAGAACTATTCCGAGCCCATCATACATTCCTGATGGCCACCCTTCAGTAGCAATGCCAACACCAATAGAGACGACAGCACAAACCATGAGAATAATCAGTGTCAGGTCATGGAGGGCTTCCCACACAAACATCCAGAATGATCTGGAAGGTTTCTCTGCATATTTATTACATCCATATATCCTCTGCCTGACAGGCACATCTGATGAAACAACACCATCATTTAAAGAAACAGAGACTTTCTTTGCCAATCCTTCAACTCCTCCTTTGAAGTCCAAGGAATTGATGTCATGAGACCGACAGATGGATTCTAGTTCGCCAGGTTCAATGCGGAATCCTGCTTGCTTTACCTCGTCTGAAAGCCTGAATTCAGTCCGATTACCCGCTGTACAGAGTTGGAATCAATAATCAGGTGATTGAAAAAATAGAACGTTAATATCATTTAGTAGAACATATTGTACCAACAACGAGACTCTTTTCTAGAAAACTGTCTAGAGAGAGAATAACCATTTAGAGAGAGAAACAGTAAAATCCCTGGTTTGCAATGGCGAAACCGCCATTAAACATCTCTTTCCCTTGCCTTTCCCCGCCTTCTTCCCTCCATTCTCCCTTACCCAGTCCTGTGTCAGATGTCTCGGCAGTCCGTGACAAGCTTCAAGCAGAAATTTTGGTGGTAGCCAGAGTTTGCTCAGTCGATCAACTCAACAAACCCATTTCTGCCACCTGTGTTCCAGAACCGCCAGCTCCATCTCCGGTTGCAAAATCTCCGACTAAGCGCAGTTCTTGGGCGGAAGTCATAAAGAATGTTCCAGTCGCCCAAGAAAACCCCTGGTTTATCATCCGCCTCTTGTTGTTGATGGTAAGATAATGGTGAAACTCCCTCGAGCTGTGTGGGATGAAGGTGTAAAGTCTTGGGAGGATTATTTAATTGGTACTTTCCATATTGATCCCCTGAATTATGGCCGTATTCTCCACATGGCTAATCGGGTATAGGGAAGGAAGTGCTCAATTATAGTCACTAGATGGGGCAATAATTCATTTCTATTCAAGCTTCCGGACCCGGCAACAAGGATGTGGATTTTAAGTTCAGGACCTTGGCATGTTGCTCACAACACGCTCACTATGCATAAATGGGAACCTGAGTTCCAAGAGGCTCTGCAGGTCCAATTTGGGTCAAGCTTTGGGAAGTTCCTATGGATGTTTTTACCCCTGATGGTTTGGGCTACATTTCTAGTGCAATTGGTGTTCCTCTGGCTTTGGATAAAGCAACAGAGGATAGGACTTGTGTCGATTTTGCTAAAGTTTTTGTTGAAATTGATGTTGCTACAACAAATGATCTCCATGATACTATTCCTGTTTCTGTAGATGATATCTTTTCAAAGGATGTTAAGGTGGAATACCCATGGCTCCCTACCAAATGTGAAACTTGTCATAAAAAGGGTCACCCTACTTCTAAGTGTAAAAACAAGAAAACTGAGCATCGAGGAAGGAAGCAAGAGTAGATTGTGGTGGAGAAGAATGTTGTGACTCCACAATAGCCCAAGAAAACAGTTGCTTTGCAACATCCTAAGGAAATAGTTGGAACAGTTTATAAAGAGGGGTTGATTTCTCAACCTAGTGGATCCATCACTGTGGATAATGTGCAGGAACATGCTAATGACCCGTCTCCAAAACTTCATGGTGATTCAGTGCAACAGTCTACGTCTCAACCACTTTCTAAGGGGCAGAACTCTTTTGTAGCTCTTGAATCCATTGAGGATGAGAAGGCTTTTCCTCCTCTACACTCTATTTTATCCAAGTCTCCTCGAAAGCCTAGGCAAGCTTCAATGGGAGTCATAGCAGCCACCAAAGCCCTTGCCCCCAGACAGAGACAATCCAAGAAAGTAGGAAATTCCTCTAGTGAGGTACCCTATGTACCTCATTATAAATGAAATTCATTTTCTGGAATGTAAGGGGCATCCATTTGAGACATAAACAACTGTCCCTTAAAAAATGCTTGTAAGTTTATAAAGCAGATGTGGTGTGCTTGATAGAAACACGTGTTCAACAACATAGATTTGATAAGATTGTTGAGTTTCTATTGCCAGGGTGGAATAGGTTCTGTAATTACTCTCATGCTACTTTAGGGAGAATTTGGATTCTTTGGCCAGACTATATTACTGTGAAAGTTTTCAGTTCAAACTCCCAAGTTGTTCACTGTCATGTTTTTGACACTATTTGTAAGAGGTATATCATTACCAGCTTCATTTATGCTGAGAATACTACAGCTCCCAGGCATGCCTTATGGGAGGAGTGGGTTCTACTAAGCGAAAGTTTACCTGACATCCCATGGTTAGTAGGAGGTGACTTTAATGAAATTAGACAGCCTCAAGAAAGTTTAGTTTGGGATGATCACCTGAGTTTTTCAAGGGATTCTAAGCTTTTTCATGCACAATTAAATAAGGCTGAGCTCTTGGATCTTCCTGCTGTAGGTCCTCGATTCACCTAGTCAAATAAGAGAGTGAAAGGAATTATTGTTAAAAAGCTTAATAAGCTCTTGGGGAGTAGTAATTGGATGGATGCTTTCCCAAATACTACTGCTGAATTTCTATCTCCAGATTTCTCTAATCATTGTGCTAGCCTTGTCACAATCTTAGACCCTATTGACAATAACTCTAGAAAGCCCTTCAAATTCTTTAATTTTTGGACCAAAAATGACAAATTTCTACACATTGTCAAGGAAGTTTGGTCCTCTGTGAATGTTCAGGGCTGCTTCATGTATCAGTTATGCAAGAAGCTAAAGGCTTTGAAGGTCCCTCTTAGGCAACTTAATAGAGATTGTTACAGTGATATACATACCAAGGTGCAACAAGAATCAAAGAATCTACGTGCTCTTCAAGTAGATTTATTGTCCAATCCTCATGAGGATTTGGCTCTTATGAAACAACAACAAGCTAAATTGGTCATTGACTTGGTCTCAGCAGAGGAGGCATACTTGAAGCAAAAATCTAGAGTTAATTGGCTCAAGGTGGGGGGGTTAGAATACAAACTATTTTCATAAAGTTTTGAAAGTTAGAAGAAGCAAAAACAGGGTTAAGACTATAATTTCTAGTGATGGGGCAAGGCTTTCTCAACTAGTTGAAATTGCTAAAGAAGCTGTCAGCTTTTACCGAAGGCTGCTTGGCACTGAAGATGCAACTTGCAATGGTGGTGACCTAAATGAGTTGAAGGGTATTTTAGATTTTCAACTACGAGAGCATGTAAGGAATGCTCCTATCCAGCCTATCACTACAGATGAATGCAAATCAGTATTTTTTCATAGTCCAAATAACAAGAGCCTAGGACCTGATGGCTTTACTGCTGAATTTTTTAAAGAGGCACGGCCTATTATTGGAGACTTGGTTATTAAGGCTATTCAGGAATTTTTTACTTCAGGAAAGTTGTTAAAATGGGTAAACTCCACTATAATTTCATTGGTCCCAAAGGTGGAATGTCCTAAAAAAATGACAGTTTAGGCTGATTTCTTGTTGCAACATTTTCTATAAATGCATTACTAAAATCATTGCTAACAGATTGAAGAAATGCCTACCTTTGTTTGTTAGCAATAACCGGTGTGCTTTCATTGAGGGCAGGCTTATGGTAGAGAATGTATTACTTGCACAAGAGGTTGTTAGGAACTACCACAGGTCTAATTTGTCTCCAAGGTGTGCACTGAAAATTGATTTGATGAAGGCCTTTGATTTAGTTAGCTGGGATTTTCTCTTCAAAGTATTAGAAGCGTTGGCCTATCCATCTGTCTTTATATCTTGGATCAAGACCTGTGTCACAACTCCCATGTTTTCAGTGTCTATAAATGGCAATATGGAGGGATATTTTCTTGGGAAGAAAGGTATAAGACAAGGTGATCCTTTGTCCCCCTATTTGTTTGTCATATGTATAGCAGTGTTATCCAGGCTTCTGAATAAGGCTGCTCAAGAAGGATCTCTCCCTTATCATCCAAAGTGCAACAAGGTCGGCCTTACTCATTTATGCTTTATGGATGACTTGCTTATTTTCACTCATGGTTCAAGAGAAGCTGTGGCTATTATCGATTCCATTTTACAGAAATTCTATACAATTTCAGGCTTGAAAGTGAACTACCAAAAATTTGAACTTTTTTGCTGCAGGATATCTAATTCTACAATTCAATGTCTAATAGAATCTTATGGTTTCAAGCTTGGTATATTGCCTGTGAGATATCTAGGAGTCCCGTTAATTACAGAAAGGTTGACTGATGCTGATCTTAAGCCCCTAATAACTAAAATCACTGCTAGAATCCAATCTTGGTCTTCCAAGTACCTTTCCTTTGCTGGTAGGCTTCAACTTATCACCTCTGTATTTGAGGGAATTGCTAACTTCTAGTGCTCAGTTTTTGTCCTACAAAAAAGGGTCCTTTTAAAGGTTGAAAACATCTGCAGTGCTTTTTTATGGAAGGGTTCATCTACTAATGCTAAGGGTGCTAATGTTCAGCGGTTTGATGTATGCCAACCAAAGATTGAAGGAGGATTGGATATTAAGTTTCTACAATATTGGAATGTTGCGTGTATCTTAAGGTTCATATGGCTCTTATTCTCTAGATCTGGTTCTTTATGGGTGGCTTGGATTCATGAATACATGCTTAGAGGGAGAAGCTTTTGGTCTGTTTCAACCCCAGGGGATGCTTCCTGGAGCTGGCGAAAAATTTTAAAATTACAGCCGCATGCAAGGCCCCTCCTTAGGTACCATGTTGGTAATGGGGAAAGGATTTTTTTGTGGTTTGATTATTGGCACCCGAATGGACCTTTGTTAGCTACTTATGGTCCTAGAATTGTACAAGCTTCTGCTCTCCCACTTCAAGCAAAGCTTTCTATCGTTGTTCAAGGAAACTTCTGGAGATGGCCTCCAGCTTGCTCCCCAAAGCTCTTACAAATACAAATTGCTTTATGTGACACCTTATACCCCAATCAGGACTCCATGGATTCTGCTTTTTAGTTTCCTTCACCTTTAGTTCAGTTCCAAACTGGGTGCACTTGGAACTACATTAGGGAAAAACATCCTAGAGTGCCATGGTTCAAAATTTTAAGTGGCATTCGGGCTGATGTTTGAGATCATTTGCTGGGGTTTGCTAAGACGAAATCCTCTCCAATGTCACTAAGTATTGCCTCAAATTGGGGTTTAGAGATATTGTGTATGGGAGGAAGAGATTGATTCTTGAAGTTTGACTTGCTGATTTTTTGTAATTAGATTTGGTAGCAGCTTGTAAAACTAGTGCTGCTTTGTATATGAATTTTGGTATTATAGGTAATAAAATTCACATTTTACCTAAAAAAAAAAAGAACATATTGTACCATCAATGAACTGCAATGCTGCCTTTTGGACGTAAAGCGCGATCCGGATCTTCTCCTGGGAAAAGCATAAAATCAATCTAATTTATAATTTAGAATGAAGATCAAATGTTTAATTCTCTGCAATATATTGTTTATCAACGACCAAGTTGCAATATATTAAAGAAAAGTAAATGTTCCAGTGATTTTTTTTTTTTTTTTTTAAAAAAAAGGGATTTGCTCGTGTTTATTTTGCTCAACATGCAAATTAAACAGCCTGTAGCATGCAATGCAGAATTTGATCAGATCAAGAGAGCAGATGAAGTAAGGTTGAAACCTGGAGGTTTTCACGCTTTCTTTGAGCTTCGGCGCGCTTAGCGAGGTCCGCCACCATGCGAAACCTGCGGCGAGGGTTCTTAACGATGGAAACTGCGGATCTCCATTTCAGTAGAGCTTCTTCCGACGGTCGCTTGTGTTGGACGTCGAAGTTCCTCCTCAAGTAGTCCTCCATGTAATTGATTAATTCGCCTGAGCTTAATTTTCTCGTGAACCAGATCAAGCAAGAGATCAGAAAGAAAAAAAAAAAGGTTACGGAGTAAGGTTAGGGATCCATGAATTCTTCATACGAAAGATTCAAACTTTTACCGAGGATTGGGGGGGCGGGGGAAGAGAAGAAAGAGAAACATGACATTCAAATTGAAATAACTAACCGCCTCCGCCACCGCCCGCCGGCCGCCGCCAAGACTGAAGTTCAAGTGTTCAACGCTGGACCTCGTACAATTGGACTGGTTCAAGATTCTCCACCGGCATATTACAATAATCGGGCTATCAAGTTGGGAGTAACTTTTGGGCTGCTTAACTTATTTGATGTTTAACAGTTTAAGTCCATGGTTGGGCTTAGCAATACAACCTTTAGGCTTTTGAGCAGAAATTGGATTTGAATTAGATTTAGGTCAAGGTATTGGATTTGTTTTTCTCTTTCTTGGAAAATAACAACGTGGGTTTGAACTCAGCCTGCCGTCGTGTCAAAAACAAAAGCTTTGCTCAAGGGTGACCTACCCACTAAATTATTTTACATGGTAGGAAATTGAAGAATTCAAACCTATATTATCGGTTTAGTTCATATTATTCATTACAATTTGACCAACCCAATGGGTTAAAATAAGAAATTTATGTTTCCTTGTAAATGAATTATATTTACATGTTTGCTTTGAAGTTACCCTTAATACCTTTTAAGTTAACAAGGCATGAGTAAAATCTTTAAAATTCAATTCATTTGCAACGGGACTATAAAATGAAGATTTCACAAGGAATTGGTAATCTCCCGACGGAATTCTCCCATCTGTTTATAATATTCACTTGATTGTCAGATAACTTGATTCTAAAACTTTTTAACTGACAAATGACGAAGATTAATTAAGTACTTTATTAGAATTTTTTATTTTATAATTTGAATTGTAAAATAAAAATATTTTTAAATAGACAAATAATTTATAATATCATAAGATTCACTCTCATTTAATGATTATTATTTATAAAATCCAATACACTTGAAATTATAACACATTTTCAATTTTATTACATAACTATAAATTGTTTATTAGAATTTCGGCCATATGATTTGGAAAAGTCAACTTATTTTTCAAAGGAGAATTCTAAACACATGCCCTAGGAGAGTAGTTAAGGATCCAACAATAGCAATAAGCAAAGAGCACTAAAATTCCAATCAACCCAAGCGGCCGCAAGCATTTTGCTTTTCGAAATACAGTTCAAGTCCAACTTCGTCTTCGATCCATCTCTCTCAAGGCTCTCATTGTTGTCTTGGAATCGTACGTAACTTAAACTCTAATAAAATAAAGGTTTGTCTATTGTATAAATTAAAGATATATTAAATATATTTTTTATTATAAATTTATATTAAAAAATAAAAATTAATTTTTAATTTATTAATTATCCAATTAAATTTATCTAATATTAAAATAATATCAATTTTTATATTTTTTAATACACATTTAATACCAAAACTATTATTTTAATATGTATATAAAGATATAAATTTAAAAAATCCATAAAATAGTAATTGTACTCTAAGTACATTTCATCAAAATAAAAATCAAAGATTATCACTAATCATGAATTTTCTCGAATAACTGAGTCGTAAGGCTATGTTTGGTATGAGAAGTTTTTCAACCAAATTATGGTTATAACCACACTTATTGTATTTATTAAAACCATGTAAATATATTATAGATGTACTTGTTTAATTTGTAAGGTAGTTAATATCTATAATTGTTAATTAATAATTTATACCAACAAGCTATTGGTCCAAATAGAAAGAATTCAATTCTTTTTAAATAAAATATCAAATTTAAATATTGTAAATAAAAAAAATAGATATTAAGAAAGTTTCTCCTCATATAGAATTCGATCCGATCTGATCTGACTTGAATCTAGATTAATCAAATTCTAATATAATTTTTAGATATTAGGAGTTAGTAAAAAAAAAATTTATCTAATAATTTATAATACTAACTAATTATAATTGATAAAATCAATGTAAAATTTTAGAGACCAAAACATAAATTTATTTAGAATTTTAGGGATATAAATAAAAATTTATTTAATTTAAAAGCCAAATCAAAATTTTGTACCAAAATTCAAGTCTGACCTTCCTACTATGAACTTTTACGCTCTAAAAAAACTGGAAATTTCCGGTTTTCCCGGTACAACTTTCTTAAGAAAAAGATATTCAAACCAAACGGGCCCTAAGGCAAAA